TTGAGACATGGTTTCTCTGTGTCATATTCTTGGCTGTCCCAGAACTCACTTTGTAGACTGAGCTGGCCTCAAACTCACAGAGATCCACCTACCTCTACCTCTCAAGTGCTGTGATTAAAGGGGTGTGCCAGCACACTCAGCCTGAAACAAACCATTCTTAAAGTAAGCTGCATGCCAAGTAGTAGATGACCAACAGAAAATGAACTCAATGATATCTTTAGAGACTCCTTGTCTCAATGTCCTGTTAAGGCTCCTCCTTTTTAAAAAATTTTACCTTTTATCTTTTATTATCTCATTTTATCCATATATTTATTTCTCTCTCTTTATTCTACAGGTCCTTTGTGTATATATTATGGTATCCAGTTCAGTTTTGTTTGTTTGTTTGTTTGTTTGTTTGTTTTTATGGTATTCCCAAGTGTGTGAATGAGTAGGTCGCTGTTTCTTGTGTCTTCTCTTGGGCTCTTTTCCTTCTGTTTGTTTTATCTAATTCCAATGTGCTAGTTTTTGTTTTTCTTATATTTTATTTTATTAGTATCTCATAGAAGCTTGTTTGTTTTCTAATGAGACACAGAAATGAGGATTTGGATGGAAGGGGAGTTGAGTAAGACTGGGAGTAGAGGGAGGAGAAACCACAATCAGGATATGTTATGGGACAGATATTTATTTTAAATAAAAGGAAAAATAAAAGATGTGTGTGTGTGTGTGTGTGTGTGTGTGTGAGAGAGAGAGAGAGAGAGAGAGAGAGAGAGAGAGAGAGAGAGAGAGAGAGAGCATGTACACAGGGCATCAATTCCAGGAAAAGTATGAGGAAAGATGGTAATAAGTATTTAATGAGTACTAACTTCATCAATGCTTATTGGTGTAATACTGGCACAGCTATTGGTAGGGTAATCAACTGTTCCCTAATTTGAGATCTGCTCCACATGAGGATACATGAGGATTCATAGTACTATAAAACTAACCCAAAACCCATGGCTGAAGAGGTCTTTGACTCAATGAAGGACTTAATACTATTGCTTAGCTAAATTATCTCTCATCAAACCACCTTTTCCATACCAGGCAATGGCTACTTTCAGCCTTAATCAGAGAAGCTTCTCCTTGCAGTGAATCAAGGTAAATATAAAAGTCTATAGCTTCCTAAGATACAGAGAATAAAGCATAGATAGTTGAGGGCTTAACCCTGAACAAGAGATTTATCCCACCCCTCTAAAGGCTTGAGGAGCACCATAGCAAAGGAACCAGAAAGAATTCAAGAGATGGAAGATTAAGAATGCCATCTTCTAACCACTGCCTTGGCAACCATGAACTCACAGCAGCTTTGCCTAGTAGCATCCAGCCCATGCAAGTCAAGTACTCCTACTACTCAGCTATGAATGATGAAGAGGATCATGGGGCCTTAAGTCTTGCTGTAACTAACAGATTCTGGGAGAGGAAGAGGTTAAAAATACAGTTGTATAAGCCCAATGGGCTCCAACGGATATTTCCAAACCCAGGTTCGCTTAGATGGCCCCGGTTCAACTCTTCGGAACACAAAATTTTAAAAAGTAATGAATAAGGGAGAGATTTGAAAGGGAGGGGGACTGGCGGGGTTTGGAGAAAAAAGAAAAGAAGATGAAGAGCTAAGCAACCAGAATTCATTAGATACAGGTATGAAATGTCAGAGTATGAAATTTATTAATAAAAAAGATATGTACAATATTAATGATATATATAGTTGACAGTCATAGAAGTTAATATAAAAATAGTCATATAAAATAATTATGATTATGATGGTAATAATAATAATTTGGTGTGATTTATTATGTTCTCACAAAAGACCATGTAGTGTATCATTTCATTTTCATAATAACCAGATTAAAATTAATTCCATTTTATTCTCAACCTGATATATTAGAATACCAAGGTTGAGGGACACAAAGTGTATTGTCTAAGTTTTGACAAAAGTTAAAAGGTAAAGGTTAAATTTAATCATAGAAATATTTTAGTTCATACCTATTGTCAGAAAAATGGAACTTGTATTCATTTCATAAATATCCACACTCTGTTTACACCAGTAAATAAGATACTCATTCTACATGCTGCCTTTAAGAAGCTTATGTTTTCTATCCCAGTGAAGGACATAGAAACATAAAGCATAAATGCACATTATTTTGATCAATCTCAAATATAGTTTAACAAATCACAAGTGTGAAATTAGATGATTGACAAATAAATACAGTTGTGTACATACCACTACCCTCAGCAGACCATTTCCATTACCCCCCAGAGCAACTTTATAGCCCCCTGAACGCTGTCACTCTCTACTCCACACCCACTCCTGCCAACCAGGGATCTGCTTCCTGTCACCTTTCCTCATAGCCCCTCCCACAGAGGAGCAGTTTTATATAAACAAAAGTGGTACAATGTGCTGTAGTTTTTCCTAGCACAGTGGTTCTGAGAACTTCTGTGGTGTTGCAGAGTCCACAATATCTTCATTCATGAACACTATCAAAAATATGCCAGGATTCATTTCTCCACAACCAGCTGATACATATGTGGGTTAGGTCCAGTTTCCAGTTATTTTGAACAAAGCTGCTAAGAATAGACAAATTATAGTATGGACATATGTTTTCATTTATCTTGAATAAATTCCTGCAAATGACCTTGTTGTTGCTTTGAAAAGTATATATTTAACTGAATACGCCATATTGTTTTCCAAAGTGACTGTGTGGTTCTGAGTTTCTCACAGCATTCTGACCTCTGCACTTCTCTGAGATCCATCAGCTAAATCTTTCTCCAGACCCTCAGCCTTTTGTATGTTCCAGTCGCTTTCTTCTGTTAACAAGTACAGAGGACCAAAGCTAGAAAATGCCACTTACTTTCAGTGTGCTTTTCAGACTAAGTCTCCTCAAGTCTCACCCTAATGCTGCAGCTCCTGCTAAAACTTGGGCCACCAAGTAACCTTTGGCTAATGCAAGTGTGTTGTCCTTATCCAGCACTCACTTGACTGTAGCCCTTTCTTTACTAGACAGGCTAGAATCTACATCCTTGTTTCACTCTCTGTCATTATTCCTTCTGCAATACGTTTCTTTTCTTTCTACAAATATTTAGAGTCAGGGACAGTTCTAGGTATGGGTTGGTTTATAGCAACAGACAAAGGAAAAATAAATGCACTAAGATGGTAACAATTTGCCAAAGTGACAGGAGTCAAAGCAGGTCACACACATGTGTTCAGAAAGAGAATTCCAGGCAGAATCATCACACAGTTGAAAATTCCCAACTATTCAAGAATGTCAGCGTGCTGGCTGGTCTTATGTCAACTTGACACAGGCTAGAGTTATCTGAAAGGAGGGAAGCTCAACTGAGGAAATGCCTCCATAAGATCCAGCTATAAGGCATTTTCTTAATTATGACTGGTGGAGGAAGAACCAACCCATTGTGGTTGGTGCCATCCCTCACTAGTGGCCCTAGGTTCTACAAACTGGCTGAACAAGCCATGGGGAGCAAGCTAATAAGCAGCACCCCTCCATGGCCCCTCCATTAGCTCCTGCCTCCAGGTTCCTTCCATGCTTGGGTTCCTGTCCTGACTTCTTTCCATGATCAACAGCAAGTGATATGGAAGTGCAAGCCAAATAATCCTTTTTCTCTCCAACTTGGTTTTTGGTCATGGTGTTTTGTCCAACAATAGAAATCCTACCTAAGACAGCCAATATGGCGGTCTCAGGGTGAGAAGAAAAAGCAAGAAGATAGAGTTGCGGGGAAAGTGCAGTTGACAGACTGTGGAAATCAGTTCGGGTGAGTGTAAAGTTACTGTTTGGTTTGGAGAGGAGGGTGTATGTAACCAACACGTAAGTTATTGTGCTAATTTGGGAGACAGATATTTCAAGTGATAGTTGTGGTGATGTATTGTGTATACCCCAATATGTTGTGTAATAAACTTATCTGGGGATCAGAGGACAAAACCAGCCACTATATTAAACATAGAGGTCAGGCAGTGGTAGCACATACCTTTAATTCTATCACTCGGGAGGCAGAGAGCCATCTGGACCTCTGTGAGTTCAAGGCCACACTGGGAACAGAGCCAGGCATGGCGGTACACACCTTTAATCCCAGCACTTGAGATCTCATGTCTTGCTTGGGAAGCACACATGCCTTCAATCCCAGGAAGTGACATGGCTGGGCAGAGAAAGGTATGTAAGGCATGAGGAGACAGGAACTAAACAGCAGTTCAACTGAGACCCTCAGGGGTGAGGACTCAGAGGCTTTCAATCTGAGGATTTGTGGAAACAGGATTGACTGAGGAGTTGGCGAGGTGAGGTTGGCTGTGACTTGTTCTGTTTTCCTGATCTTTCAGCTTTCACCCCACTATCTGGCTCTGAGTTTTTGTTTTGTTTTGTTTTATTAATAAGACATTTAGCAATTCGTGTTATAGATAGTAGCTGGGTTCTGTGTATATCTTGAAGGTGTATCCACTAGGACTTACTAGTGAATTCAATGTGAGTCAGAAAGATGATTCATTTCTGTTCCCAAGTTTGAGGTATGAGCAAGTCAACATTGACTAAGAGAAGACATCAGGAAGAACATATTTAAGGAATAAAATTCAGATGTCAGTTCTAGGTACCTTTCTTGGTGACTTTAACATATACATGTTATACTATGGTTTCCTGGATTTGTGGTATTCTTAGCCTCTCCTGCCTAAGAGGCCTAATCATATGCTCCACATCTGGTCTGTGAATACCAACAACAGCCCACCTCTGATTAAAAGATGTCGTTCCCTCACCTTTATATCTGTAGCTCACTTCTCAGTGCAGTGTCCCTTTTCTGGTTCCACTGGAAGATCAATCTAGTGGCCCCACAGCAGAATGTTCCTCTTAAGCCTTCATTCAGTCCCTGTCCCATCTTGTCAGTAACTTACCGTCACTAGAACAAAATACCTAAGAGCATTTTTGAGCACAGCTTCAAGAGGTGGCCAAAAGAAGAAAAGCGTGTTATGACTCATAATTGTAGACGTTTCCACTTACCTTCATCCCTATGGATCTACAATAAAGCAGAACATCATGGTGGGGAGGGTGTGGCAAGACGCAGCTCTTCCTCAAGTAACCACAAATGTGAGAAAGGGGGAAGGAGGGAGGACAGAAACAGAGAAAAGAGAGTAGAAAAACCATTAAGATATAAGCTCCCAAGAGTCCACTCCCTTCAATTTGGTCCAGCCTCTTGGGCATTGGTCACCTCCCAGTCACCCTTCAGATTCTGAATCTACAGACAGGTTATTTCACTGTTAAGGTCAGAACTCTAATGAAGCAACCACTCCTGGGCCCATTTCTGAAACTTGCTACACTGGGGAACCAACATATGAACACAGGAGCCTTCCCAGCATTCCATAGGCAGGCCATGCCACTTCTTGAAGCTGTGCTCACAGTTACAGGGCACTCTTGCTCACCCCCTCCACTTAGTTTCTCCTTCTCTCATCCTATTCCACAGAAAAGAATAACTGGGTCCCATTAAATGCATTGTTGCTTCACCTAAGTAAGGATACACATAAATAAGGATATTGCTAAGGTAAACCATCACTGGTCTCATTTTAAACTTATGAGCACAAACTTTCACCAGCCAGATAACCCCTCAACCCTGTTTACCAAACCTTGGCTTACCTCTTCACTAAGCATATTTTCTCACTTTGGGGGATACCAGTTTTTTTTTTTCTTCCTAGATCTTATAACAAACACTAACTCTTTTTCTCCAGTTCTCAGCGAATGAGGGATTTTTTTTAATGCAAGTATGTTTTCATGTCCCCAATCTTCCTAAAAGCAAGTCTACTACCCTACATTCCCCCATCTGAACGTTTCTGACTTGTTTGTTTGAGACAGAGTGAGAGACTATCCTGACTGTCTTGGAACTTGCTTTGTAGACCATCCTGGCCTTGAACTCACAGATGTCTGCTTGTCTCTGCCTCCCAAATGCTGGCATTAAAGGTATGTACCACCTCGCCCAGCCAGCTCTTCTTAAGTGGATAAGTATTCATGTTCCCGTCTGCCTTGGTCTACTTTTTCTGCTGTAACAGAATGCATAAAATCTCATCATAGAAGTTTTGTAGGAACCCATGAGCAGCAAGGCACTAACATCTGGCAAAGGCCTGCATGATGGAAGGGCATAGGAGACAAAGAGGACAGGTATGGATGAACTTAACACTTCCATCAGAGACAGTCTCACTGCGGCTGATGCAATCCTGTGGTAATGCAGTATTCCATTCATCCATTGGAGCAGAGCCTTGTGACCCGACCACCCTTTGAAGGTCTCACCTCTTGATACTATTACAATGGAAATTCGACTTCACAGTAAGTCTTGCAGAAGACACTGGAGCCAGAGGACTGGGGACACTCTTTTGACCTGAATTCTACCTGTTCTCACATGCTAAATGATGGGTGATGTTGCGATTATCTCTTCTGCAATATTACTTTCTCACTACTTAAATCTTTATACTTACAAATCTCTTAGACTTTTCCCAACAGCACTCAAATGTATCCTAATAAAGCCACAACAAAAATGTTTCCCCTCATCCCTTGTCACCAGTTAGCTGCTGCTTCATTTCTTACTTACCTTAAAAACATATTTCCTCAAAGGCACAATTCTAGATTCAGACTTTTCTTTTTGTCTTATCCATTTTAGATAAAAAACAAAAACAAAATACCCTCATCATCTTGCCACTGAAAATACTCCTTCAAGGTCATTAACAAGCTCTATCTTGTCAACTTTAGTGCCCAATTATCTTTCTCAGCTTATTAATTATACAAAAGCTCCATGGCATTTGAAGGCATTTTTCTTTCTTCTTAAATTTTAGACAGGGTCTTACTATACAGCTTTAGCTGGCCTGGAGCTCACCATGTAGTGCAAGCTGCCTTTCCTCCCCATGTATGATGATTATAGGCATATGCCACCACACCCAACTAATCACTTCTTTTTTTTTAAGTTTTCTTGGGCACCGGCACCACCTTTTTCTAAATCCTCTGATATGACAGGGCTGCTTTCTCAGTCTCTCTGCAGCATCTGCTTAACAGAACCTGATGCAGGATTGCCTAGATCCTCTCCCCACTCTCCTGGGAAACTGTGCTCTGCCCCAGTGATAACAATAGCACCCATGTGCAGTGTTTCACAGAGCACCAGGAGGCCTCAGCTGGTCACATAATAGGCATCTCATTCTGAACATGGCACTAACAAAACTCCTGATAGTCAGTCACTACTCTCCCTACCTCTCAGTGCACTCAAACCTACTCAATTACTTTATTAGTTTGTTGGTGAACGTAAAACAAAATACTGCTGTGAAGATTAAACAAAATATATTTTCTTTTCTCATGATTCTTGAGACATCTAAGATCAAGTTAGTTTCTTTTAGAGCCTCTCTGAAGGCCTTCACATAGCTGCCATCTCTCTGTGTCTTTATATGATCACACTTTAGTGCACACATTCAAATAGCGTCTTTCCAGGCCTTTTGAAAAAACTTCCCTTTAACTTGAACACCCATTATTGGAAGAGCTTTTCCCCCAGATGCTGAGTTACTGCTGTTGGAATTTTAGCATGTGGGTTTGGAGAGAGAACACATCACTGCAATAGGTCCTCAACACAAAACTTTAGTCCTTATGCCTATTCCTGTTTTCCTATGTGTGATTAATAAGTCATGACGTAGTTTCAATAACATATGAAATAAGAGCACATAAACTATCCACAGATAGAACCAGATCAGAATCTAGATTCCTGTGTGATGTGTCCATTTTGATACAGAGTCTTCCTCAAACCTTAACCATAGTAACGTATAGTAACAAGAAAAATAAAATAATGAATTTCTTCAATAGCTTCTCAGAGCTCTCAGAATGCATTTCGCATCTTCCCACCATGGCCTGCGTGATCTAATGTATGTCCTTCTCAGTCTAGCGTTACTATGCTGCTCTTTGATTGCTATATTCAATGATGCTGGCTTCCTTACTCATCTTTATATACAAGTTACAGTCATGCCTCACCTGAAGAGGGTTTAATCAACAATGAACTTCATATGCGATATTTGTCCCATAAGATTGTAAGAGTAGAAAAGTGCTGGTTAATCTACATTGTCCATTTGACAATATTTATAATCTCCTAAGAGATAAAGGGGAAGAACCACCTTGAGTGTGGGTGGTGCCATCCCTTAGGCCATGGTCCCACACTAGATAAAAAGAAGCCGAAAGAGCAGCAGCATTCCTCCCTCTATTCCTGACTGTTGGTGTAATGTTATCAGCCACCTTACACGTGTCTGGCCACAGCTAGTGCTGTTGCCACCACCAACCCTTTCTGCATAATGAACTGTGCCCTCAAACTATGAGCCACAGGAAGTTCTCCCTTCCCAAAGTTGCCTTTGTTGTGTATGTTGTCGCAGCAATGAGAAGAGTAACTAACTCTGCAGTGACATCATAGTTGTCACATTATATTGTGGGTTTTGGTGATGCTGGTGATGGTCACTGATCCATGGCTGTATATGTATCACTGTTGTGGGATATTTGTACACTGTGTGAAATGTATTGCTGTCATAGGTGCAATAAAAATCTGAATGACAAATAGCTAGGCAAGAGGTATAGGTGGAAGTTCAGGAAACATAGAGGACTCTGGGAAGAAGAAAGGGAGAGTCACCAGCCAGATGTGGAAGAAGCAGCATGAGCAGTATTACCTCTCTGTAGATGAGGTAATAAGCCACACTATAGAACATAGATTAAAATAAATGGATTACTTTAAGTTATAAGAGGTGATGGGACAAGCCTAAGCTAAGGTTGAGTTTCATAACTAATAATAAGTCTCCCTGTCATTATTTGGGAGCTGGCCATATACAGAAAGACTCGTTACATATCACACTAATTATTTCATTGTCATCACACTTTCACACTGTTCCTTTCCCCTCTTCTCATGATGTCAGTCCTATTGAATACAGAAAGCATCATGGCCCAATTTGACCTCATCACAATTATGTTTTTAATGCCAATTTTTTTTTCATTTTTTTAATTAAGAAATTTTCTACTCACCCTACTTACCACCCACAGATCCCACCTCCTTCCTCCTCCGACCTTCTAGCCCTCCCTCCCAAGCCACCCCGCATCCCCACATCCCCCAAATCATAGTCTCCCATGGGAAGTTAGCAGAGAAGGTTAAATTCTAAGGTACTGGAGGTTGAGACTTCCTTTTTGGGAGGATCATAATCCAAACCATTGTCTGTGATATTGGAGGAATATCGAGAGAAGGGAACATGAGTCCCATGGCATATCTTATCTCTTCAAATTATCCAGAAGGACAGATCCATTCAGAATGCTCCAACATGCAAGATGGGGAGTAAATTTAATATGGATTCATTGACAATGCAGCATTACAAAGGATTTTACAACCTTCACCAATCAAAGGCCAGCAACAGCTGGCTTCCCCCCAGTGCCAAGTCAGCTTTCCTAAACTTTTTATGGCTGGCTTTTCAGTGGCTGTTGATGCTTTCAGAATATTAAGCAGTGTTTAGTCACTTTCTCAGGGAGGGCTTCTCATTGTGGTTTCTAAAAATGCGCTGAATGTGTTTTCAAGGAGAAAAAGTGCCAGAGGGCCTTTGGTGGAGCAGGCTGAGCTTTGTAATCACAAACAGATTGCAGGGATTCCTGGTTCTGACTCCAACAGCCAGCAAAGGTCCCAAACACCAGTTGGCAATTAGCTTGGGCAAAATCACCATCTGATGACACTTGTACTGGACTCATCCAGCTCTGCCCAATCATTAACTATCCATGGAACTGGATTTGGTAACATGGTAGAGCGACCCAATCTTTCCAAACTTGTGGTCTAGAAACCATGAAAGTCCTGCTTGGGTGGCCAGTAAAAAGCCCTTTCTAGAGAATGTTGCTCTGAACCAAAGCAGAACTTTGGGCCTTCCCCTCCGTGTATCCTATCCCCTTGAAGACCCGATGAGCTCTCACATCTACTACAATTCTACCTTCATAGCAGAATCTGACCCATACTCACATGAAAAGACATGCATATTGGATGGACTCAGGGCTGGTGTAGGGAAAATTAGCAGGATAGAATAAGATGAAGTCTG